TTTCACAGGAAGGAGTATTGCCAGAGATAGTGTCCTTGCATAATGACAAAGGAGTCAGTTTATCAAAATGATACATGAATTGTCAATATTTATGCTCCTTATTTGGAGCATTACCTTTTTATTTAAAGGCTCAAAGTACATGAAGCAAAACTGATTAGAATATAGAGGAGAAACAGACAAATTTACAATTATAGCTGAAACTTTCAACATCTCTCAATATTTGATAGAACAAGTAGACAAAAAATCAGTAAGGATATAAAACACTTGAACAACACTATAATCAACTTTATCTAATTAGCATTTGTGGAATATTCTACCCAATAACAACAGAACACACAATCTTTTCAAGGGTACACAGAATATTTACCAAGATAAGTCACATTCTGGGCCATAAAACAACTCTCAGTAAATGTAATAAAAGATTGAAATCATTAAACAATATTGTTTCCCAAATATTTATAAACTAAACAGCATTGGGTTTTTTTTGGCTGTGTTGGGTCTTCGTTGCTGTGTGCGGGCTTTCTCTAGTTGCAGTGAGCAGGGGCTACTCTTCATTGCGGTGCATGGGCTTCTCTTGTTGTGGAGCACGGGCTCTAGGCGTGCGGGTAGCACGCGGGCTCAGCAGTTGTGGGACATGGGCTTAGCTGCTCCGCAGCATGGTCTGGGAAGACCAGGGATCGAACCTGTGTCCCCTGCATTGGCAGGCAGATCATTAACCACTGCGCCACCAGGGAAGTCCCTAAATAACATTTTAAAATAACCCATAAGTCACAGGGAATAAGTCATAAGGGAAGTCAGAAATTATTTTGAACTGAATGAAAATGAAAACACAACATATCAAATTTGGTGACATGCAGCTAAAGACAGTCTTAGAGGGAAATTTATAGCACTAAATGCTTATGTTAGAAAAGAAGAAAGGCTTACTCAGACTTCCCTGGTGGTGTGGTTGAGAATCCACCTGCCAATGCAGGGGACATGGGTTCGAGCCTTGGTCCAGGAAGATCCCACATTCCATGGAGCAACTAAGCCCATGCACCACAATTACTGAGCCTGTGCTCTGGAGTCCGCGAGCCACAACTACTGAGCCTGTGTGCCACAACTACTGAAGCCTGCACGCCTAGAGCCTGTGCTCCACAACAAAGACAAGCCACCGCAATGAGAAGCCTACGTACCTCAATGAAGAGTAGCCCCCGCTTGCCGCAACTAGAGAAAGCCCGCGGGCAGCAACAAAGACCCAACGCAGACAAAAATTGATTAATTAACTATTTTAAAATAAGAAGAAAGGCTTAAAATTAGTGACCTCAGCTTGCACCTTAAGAAACTGGAAAAAGAAGAACAAATTAAACCCAAAGTAAGCATATCTATATATACACATATATATTTATAAAGAGAAATCAATGAAATTGTAAATGGGAAAACAATAGTGAAAATCAATTAACCCAAAAGCTGTTTTTCTGAGATCAATAGTACAGTTGATTCTCATTATTTGTAGTAATTATGCTTTATAAAGTTGCCAGGAACACTGAATTAGAGAATACTGAACCATTGCTCCTAGAGAAAGTACAGGGTTAGGTTCCTGTGAGCTTCTAGTCACATTTTTTTGTCCGACAATCAATAATAACCCTGATTTATCTGTGTCTCTGTTTAAAGACATTCTATTTAATATATACTGTTGATTCATCAACATTGGACTCATGGCCAATAGCACTATACCTCATGCCTGGAAGAAACTTATCTAATGTACATTTTCTTCTTAAGGCACACCACAGCCTTCCTGCACTTAGGAACACTAAACAGCACTTCAGCACTTCACCTGGGGATCATTTTAAGGAGGAAAATCACCACCACCAAGAAGAAGTTACCAAAGCTCACTCAAGAAGAAATAGATCATCTGAAAGGTTCTATATCCATTAATAAGGCTGAATTTATCATTTAAACCACACCCCAAAAAAGGACCTCCATGCCTAGATGGCTTCATTGATGATTTGCAGCAAATATTTAAGAAATAATACTAATTCTATACAAACTTCCAGAAAGCAGGAGAACCCTTTCCAACTTATTTTATAAGGCCAGCATTACCCTGATACCCAAGTCTGAAAAAGACATTACAAGAATAGCAAACTAACTATAGACCAACATTCTACAAAACATATCTGAGAGGGATTAAAGAAGATATAAATAAACAGAAAGATATACCATACTGGTGGACCAGCAAACTCAATATTGTTAAGAGGTAACAGTTCTTCCCAAGTTTATTTATAAATTCAAGGCAATCCCAATCAAAATCTCAGCAGGCTATTTTTAGTTGTTTTGTTTTAAATTGATAAGCTGATTTTTTAATTTACATGGAAATGGACTTAAAAGGAACAAAACAACCTTGAAAAGAAAAAAACGGGTAGATTTACACTATCAGATTTCAAGACATTATAAAGCTGTAGTAATCTAGACAGTGGGATATTAGTAAAAATAGGTATATAGATCAATGGAATAGAATAGAGAGCCCATATATATATATATATATATATATATATATATATATATATATATGGCCAATTGGGAAAGAATAATCTTTTCAAGAAATTTTATTGGAGCAATTTGATATTTATATGCCAAATAAAAAAAGAGAGAAAGAGAGAGAACTACAACCCTGACTTCACACCATAGACCATAATCAAAATGAATGTAAGAGCTAAAACTGTAAAACTTCTAGAAGAAATATAGAAACTTTTCATGATCTTGGAGTAGGTAAGGAGTTCTTAAATAGGACATAAAACAAACAAAAAATAACTTGGATCAAACACTATTTCCATCTGACTTTTGTTGCCATATCTCTTTTCTCTGGGGCCAGCTAGGCAGCGACTACCCCTCCAGCCAGCCCAGGGCCCTTGGTAGGGGGTCAACTTTGGCACTGACATTCAGCACACTGTCCCTTCCCCATGCCTGCTGCTAAAGCCAGCTCTAAAGCCCACAACATCCCACCCTACACAGACTCCAAAGATGCCACTACTTAGGATCCTGTCCCCCACCAATTCTCAGGCTCTCACCTCTAGCCCTCAACTCTATACAAGGAGATGTGAGTGAAACTTGGTCCCCACAAGGGCTTCTGGCTGCGTGCAGTGAGTGGCTCCACTGTGCTCAGCTATCTCAGCCCATGCACCACCGTGAAGTTTTGTTTACAGTGGAAACCGCCTTCTAGAGATTCTAGAGGTGACATGGAATTCTTCCTACTGGGTTCATTTGGTCATTTCAATGGGGATCTGTTGGCAAAATGGGAGAGGAATTGAACAGAGGGAATTAGACCCCCACCTAGCACCAGAAGTCTCTTTGGATTTAGAGTGGGCAGCAACTTGGTCCCCTCTGATGCTGTTTGAAAGTACGAAACTACAGTAAATGTATTTGGCTGACGTAGGGGAGGGAATAAAGAGGGCAGTGCCCAGCCTTGCCCTACTGGACATTTGAAGCCCTTGGTGTTAAAAGGTCTACCCTTATAGGGACTTCCCTGGTGGCGCAGTGGTTAAGAATCCACCTGCCAATGTAGGGGACATGGGCTCGAGCCCTGGTCTGGGGAGATCCCACATGCTGCAGAGCAAACTAAGCCCGTGCACCACAACTACGGAGCCTGCATGCGGCAACTACTGAAGCCTGCGTGCCTAGAGCCCGTGCTCCGCGATGAGAAGTCCGTGCACCACAACGAAGAGTAGCCCCCCGCTTGTCACAACTAGAGAAAGCCCACGTGCAGAACGAAGACCCAACACAGCCCCCCAAAAAAAGAAATAAAGAAGGTCTACCCTTATAATAAGCAAGTCAGTTCACTTCAGTGCCCACTTTTTGAAAGGTCTTAAAATTAGCTTCCTTCAATTAGGGTTTACTGAGCCCCTTCCCCAATAAGGAGTTACTCTGGGGAATCTCACACAGGTGCCCCAGGCTATGTCTTTATTCCCCACTCTTCTCACACGGGGTGGGGCTGTGACTGAGACCAAGTCTCCCCAGTGCCAGGTGTGTACTGACCACTGCCCCAAGGCCAGAAAAGGTCAGGACCTCTGGAAGTTGAAGGGACCCATATGCCCTGAGGGAAGGGTAGGACTTGAATGGGCAGAGATGGGCCAGCAGCCCATGCTGACTGAACAGCCTGAGGAAGGCAAGGAGGCGAGGAAACTCAGAACATGTTTGAGGAATATCAAAGTCTACTTTGGGGAATTCCCTGGCGGTCCAGTGGTTAGGACTCAGCGCTTTCGCTGCCAGGCCGGGTTGGATCCCTGGTCTGGGAACTAAGATCCCGCAAGCCGCTTGGCGAGCCCTCCCAACCCCGCAAAAAAGTCTAGTTTGACTTCAGGGGTGGGGGATTTGGCTTGGTGTGACAGGCAACGAGGGACAAGAGGACAGGTCAGAGCGGGGCTGCAGGAGCCTCCCTGGGACGGCCACGCAGAAGGGCTGGGGAGTGCCCATCTCCCACCTGGACTCGCACCAGAGGGTGTGTGCTGGGGAGAGGACGAAGATGCCCTTCGGAGCCCGGGGTCACTGGGGAGGGGAAGGCGGCATGCTCGGGGCCTTAGGGGTTTGTGGGGGTCAGGCCGTGGCGGGAAGAGCACCGACCCCTGGTGACGCGGGTCGGAGCCGACCCTCACACCTCGACTGTGAGCCCCGCGGTCCCCGTAGCGTTATCAGTTGCTGAGCATCTACCAGGAACAGGGTGAGAGGCGTGGGCTTCCCTCTGCATCCCCATTCAGTGTCCCGAGAGGGACAGGTATCCAGGAGGCCCTGGGCTCCCCGTCCGCACTTGGAGAGCCCTGAGCGGTCGCTGTTGTCCCCGCTCGGGGCAAGTTCTTGGGAGCAGGGCGAGAAGGCGCGCGGTGCCTCCTCCAGGCAGCCGGCGGTGTGGCCCCAGGCTCCTCCTCCTGCAGCTGCCGCTGCCTTATAAGGCGGGGGCCGGGCCGCGCCGGGGGAGGAGCTGCGGCCGCCCGGCCTCCTCCTCGGCTCTCGGAGCGGCGCGGGGCCGGCAGGGAGCGCAGCGCAGCGGGAGCCGAAGAGCGCGCGGAGCCTGCCATGGGCAAATCAGGTGAGCCCGCCGTGCCAGCCGGGCCGGGGTGCGGGGATGGCTCGGAGCCCCAGGCTCCGTGGTCTTCACTGTCACTCTTCCCGCGGTGGGCTGGATCCCCGGGGAGCGGGTCGACAGCCTCCGCCGGGGCGACACGATTCCGGCCGCGCTCCGGGACCACTGGGTGCGGGATGGAGGGGCTCGCGACGCGGGCAATTTCCGGGGCAGCCAGGAAGCCGGGGCGGCCGTCGGGCCCTCGGGAGAGAGGGAGGAAGGCGAGACCGAGGGAGGGTCCTCCTGTCTGCGAGCCAGAGATTGCGTCAGGGAGGGCTTCCAGGCGCTGATGGGATTAGTGCTCAGCGTCCGGCCAAGGCGTGGCTTTAGCTTTGTTTCAGGACAGGGTTAGAGTTGGAAAAAGCCACAGAACTGTGACAGCATCTCTTCCTGCAAAACAGCTTGCCCCGACCAACCCTCCGAAAGACAGCTCTGAGCATCCTTTTCTTCGGTCGTTGTCCCTTCTCCTTTAAGTGCCCCTCCACCCCTACCCGGTGCCAGACTCAGTCAGGCTACACACGGCTACCAACAACGGCTTCCTGTTTCTCTCTGACCTGTCGCGGCCCATCCTCACTACGGTGGCTGTCCCGGTGAACTGCCGTCATTCCCTAACACCTTCCATCCCACTGTCCGCAGGTGAAAGAGTACACATTCTTCAGCCCCACGGCGGGGCCCTCTGGGAGCTGATCATCGCCCCTTTCCTCCCCCTGCACTCAGCTGTGCTCTGGGCATAGTTCTTCCGCTGGGTTCCCTTTCCCAGCGCTCACCACCACCACGAGCGCTCCACCTCTCCCACTTCGGTGAAGTTGAAAATCCTCCCCACCTTTCTAGGCTCAACTCCTGTGCTGGGAGCCCACCCCGATTTCCCCACCTGGTGTCTTCTTTGTTGCAGCCCTCCCAGCAGTCAGGTTGGGACACTACCCAGCCAAAGACCTGTTTCCCACAGACTCCTCACTTTTGGCAGCCAGGAACCATGTCTATCTCAGCATAGTTCCTGCCTCACAGGAGGCTTTTTAATGAACAGCTTTTGAACAGAGTTCAAAAGTTCTGCTTCGTGGGAAGTTGAGATTGTCAGCCTCAGATGGGTAAGGCTGGGTCTCTTCTTGAATCTGTCCTCAAGATCTGGACTTATGAGGTACCAGTGTTGGGAGTAAGTAGCTTTCTCTGGCATTGGTCCTAACCTGCCCTTATCTGTAGTTACAGGTCTGGCTTTCAGCCCTGGCTCTGCTAATCACTTGCTGTGTGATCTCAATCAAAGCCCTTTCCTTCTCTGGGCCTCAGTTTCCTCATCTATACAAGGAGGATGGCCTATATCATCCCCAGGGTCTTTACAGTATGGAAAGGTGACTTGCAGTTAAAGAAGAATGTGATAGGTGGCGGGTGTGGGGAGAGGAGGGCGTGGAAGATGTGAGAGGGCACTTTGAGATCCCTACTTGGGAAATCAGTTCCTTTCTCTGTAGATTAGGAGAAAATCCACAAATTCTCTAAAGCTACATTTTAATCAGTTGTTTCTGGCTTCTTCCCTAAGAAACAGTTTTCCAGAACTGCTGGGTGCCTGTCTTCTATTTGTTCATTCATCCCTCTCTCCCTCCCTCCGTCCTTCCTTCCCTCGCTCTCATCCTTCCATTCCACCATCTATCAGCTCTGTACCAAGCTGTGGACCCAGTGCTGTGGAGGGCGTGGCCCCTGCCCTCAGGAGTGTTCATGTAGATTATGAAATGCACCATAAAGCGGATTGGGGGGATAGACAGGCACCGCATGGCTCCAGTAAGAGGTGGAAAGTGATCTAAGCCACAAGACAGGTACAGGTGAAGAGAAGTGGGAGCTCAGGGGAGGGGAAATCTCTGCCCAGGCGTCCAGTGAAGGCTCCTGGAAGAGGTGGTCAGACCCCAGAGAGTCTTGGAACTTTGGACTTTTTACAATGGGACCTGGGGGCACCATTGAAAAGCATCGATCTCAAAGCCGCAGGACTAGAGCTGTTCCAGGGTGGAGAGTGGATCAGATGGGAAGAGGGTGGAGGTGGGGGTCAGGGAGAGGCTGCTGCAGTTACTCAGGCAAGAGATGACAGAGACATCTAAGGGACGGGAGAGGAAGTGGGGATGGATTTTTGAGATGGTAGCCTCTAGCAGACTTGGTGACTAACTCGTTGTGAATAAGATGGAAAGGTCAGCGGTATGAATCTGGGTGCAGGAAGGTGATGACACCTTCCAGGACTGGAGGTGCAGAGTCGAGCAGGATGGTGGTAGAAGACAGGTTAGAGGTGGTTCAGGCAGTTTCCACCACCCTTCCCATGCCCAACCTCCACATATACCCAGGGACCTTTCAGAATGCTGGCCCTTAGCTACATGCATTTTATTTGTCTCCCCCCCGTCCCCGCCCTGAAGACTCTGAACCCCCTGGATAGTATCTGGCTCCCCTAAGGGTCCCCAAGAGAAAATGACTTTTCTGGGTGACACGGGCCCGACCTTGATGTTCCAGGCCGCCAGCCTGAGGCTGTCTATGCCCAAAAGACAGGCGGCATCACAGACGTGTATCCACCCAGGGGCTTTCTGTGGTTCCACAAAGACCTTCATAAGGAGCCTGCCTCTTCTGGGCCTCAGTTTCCTCATCACTACATAGGAGCCCATCTCTTTTTAATCTTCAACCTCAGATATACCCCAGAGCTGTTGGGGTAGCGGGCCGTGTTCAGAGACTTCCAGGTCCGGCCACTGGCCCTGGTCTCCCTGCTGGGCTTCAGTTTGCAGCCAGGCAGAGAAAGGCAATGGCCTGGGGCTCAGTGAAAGCCTCTAATATAGTCCCTAATAATAGTGATCACCAATTATTCTGCTCCTGCTGTGTGCCAGGCTTGGAGCTGGGTATTTCACATGTGTTACTAACTTTCGTAACAGCACCGTGAGGCAGTTGTTATCAGCTGAATAGATTTACAGAGGTTGAGTACTTCCCCCAAGCTCACACCCTAACCAATAAGTGGACAAACTGGGATGTGTACCCAGCTCTCTGACTTCCCAGCTGGGTGCTGTCCCCTCTACCACAATGACCACTTGTCATCCTGCTTCTCAGCCTGGACTCTGGCCCTTAGGGACATCCACACACCCTCTAATTATCTCTAAGAATCTTATTATCCCTTGACCCACATCTCCCAGCCCCAGAGCTTATCAGAGCAGAAAGACATTCAGGGACCAACTAATCCAGGAATTTTCTACTGAGCAGGGCCCTCACACCTCTGCAGGGGGAGGCCATGTGGCCAGGTCAGTCCCAGCAGTACCATTTTCATCTGTTGATTCCAAAGAAAGGTTCAAAGAAAGGGTTTCCCTGCTTTGAAGCTATTTTGAAAACCACAGATGTCATCCTTCCTTCTCACACAGGTGGGGGAGCAGGGCCCCGGCACTGGGCAGGGACTTGCCCAGTGCTGGCGGGCAGGCCTGAGTGGCGGCAGGCAGGGCTGGAGAGGGGACCACCTGTCTGCTGGTGAGAGCAAGCCCTCTCCCTGCCCTGGCTCCTTCAGCCCTTCAGTGACTGTTGCCCATCACACAGGGGCAGCCGATACTGGGACATCCTTGTCATTCTTGCTTAGGGAAAGGAAGATGTATGTAAGGTAGAAAGTGTGTGAGATCCGGGGCAAAGGAGGGACATTCTTAGATCTGGCTCTAATGTGGACTCACTGTGTGACCTCGGGCAATTCACATGTCCTCCTAAAGACCAAAGTTTCCTCCTCTGTAATGAGAAGAATCCTGTCCTCAGGCTTACCCAGTGATGGTGTGAAAATCTCATTCATTTGTTCTTGTGCTCACTTGCTCAGTAAATATCTGAGCTCAGAGGTACTGAAAGAGGTCATCAAAGGCCAGGTTAAATACCAGCAGCCCTGCTCCTGTTAAAATCAGGGAAGGGATCTGATGGGGGCAGTTTCCCCCAAGGCCAGGAGGAACTTTGGACTTTAGCCTCCTTTAGGAGGCTAAAGGCTCCTCTGCCCAACAGTAATGATAATAATTATAGCTGACCTTTTGTTGAACTATAGTTGTTCACTTTGCTCCAGATCTGTTCTAAAGCATTTACGAAGATTAATTTATTTAATTCTCACAACAACCCTGTGAGGTGAATACTGTTATCCCCATTTTGTATATGGAGTCAGTGAGGCACAGAGGGATGAAGCAACTTGTCCACGGTCACCCAGCTAATAAAAGGCAGAGCTGGGATTTGCCTCTTGAACTTCCTGGAACCCAATCTGAAAAGAGCTACTCATCTGGAAACTCATTGCTTTTTTGTTTGTTTGTTTGTTTTTTGAACTTTATTTATTTTTTATACAGAGGTTCTTATTAGTTATCTATTTTATACATATTAGTGTATATATGTTTGTTTGGGGTTTTTTTGTGTGTGTTTTTTTCTTTTTGCTGTACGCGGGCCTCTCACTGTTGTGGCCTCTCCCGTTGTGGAGCACAGGCTCCGGACGCGCAGGCTCAGCGGCCATGGCTCAGGGGCCCAGCTGCTCCACGGCATGTGGGATCTTCCCGGACCGGGGCACGAACCCGTGTCCCCTGCATCGGCAGGCGGACTCTCAACCACTGCGCCACCAGGGAAGCCCATATGTTTGTTTTTATAATCTACTTTTTATTCTTTCTTCCTGATAAACTAGCAAAACCAGCTTTGCCCCAAACGCTTTCTAGCCTCTTGCCAGGGGACCAAAGGGGCCTGTCCGTAACTCCTGCCTTGGCCCCTGACGGTCCTGGGCCTCTCTGGTGGGGAGTCGGGCGAGGGCTGAGAAATGAGTCAGCTGGGCTCTGGGAGGCCTCTGAAGAGGATGGATGCTGAGGGAGGAGCCCGTCCCAGCCACCAGCTGTGAGGGAGGAGGGGCACGGACCTCCTTAGAGTCTTTATTCAACAGTTAGAAGCTCTGCCCTAAAGAAACTTCAAGAGCCCCCAGTCCAGCCCCACCCAAGATGCCTGCACCCTCCAAGCGGCAGAGACCACCCTGGCCTGCCGCCTTCCCTCAGCCACAGGAGCCAGGCCCAGGCAGCCCCTTCCACCTTTCAACAGCTCTGGCCTTAAGCCCCAGGTCTGCCCCCTGGAGCTTCTACTCCACAGACCCTGATTTTCCTCTGGGGCCCCTCACGCCGGTCTGTCTATAAAGGCCTTGGCACAGAGGAGGCTCTTGAGAAATCTTAGTTCTTTTCTCCTCTTCCTTCTTCCTCTTCTTTCCGCTCAGAGATTTGAAGGCGGCTGCCAACCCCACTAGGCTGATCCTCCTCCTGGGTCTGGTGGCCCTATCTTTCTCTTCTCAATGATTTCCTCTGTCTCCTGACCCTTGGGGTGGGGTGGCATTAAGGGCAGTGTTTCTCTCCTCGTGGGCCTACCTCTGGACCAGTTGTAGGAATGTGGACAGGTTATTTCCTTCTTGAGCCTCAGTTTCCTCATCCAAAAAATGGGTACAGTAGTGGAAGCTCCCACAGTGGTGGTGAGAAGTAAATCAGATCTTGCACAGGCCTGGCACCTAGAATGGTTGGCCATCGAGCAGAAGAAAGGTCCTCCTTCATTCCAGGCTGGTACCCTGAGGCTGTGTGACCTCTGAGCCTCAGTTTACCCTCCCACAAAATGAGGGCATAATCCCTCCCTTCTCCTCCCCCCACAACCATGGGGTGGCTCTGAGGGCCATCCCTGCGTCAGGCAGGGATGGGTGGGTTTTCTTTGACTCCTTTTTCCCTTACGTTTATCTGCTCTCAGGTTTTTCTACAGAAGTGAGTTGTGCCTCTTTCTGGGTGTGGTCATCAGTGGTATCTTGCCTCCCTGAGGTTGAGGTTCTGCTCACAGGGGCCGCCTGGACTGGGACTGGCTGCCGTGGTGAGAGGGGACCAATAAGTCAGCAAGGGGTGTGGTCATAGGGCCCCCAGGCCTCCCAGCCAGAGGCAGGGAGAGAGGGCACCCCTCCTGACCCCTTCCTAGGAACGCTGGCCCACGGCACTGGCTCTGCTGGGATCAATGACTGGCTTCAGCTTCTGGGCCATGAGCTTAGGTTGGGCGCAGGAACTTTCACTTTTGTTTCATTACTTCCCACATTCTGGGAGCGCAGTGACCTCGTTTTTAGCAGCCTTATGTCCCCTCTGCCAAGGAGACTGCAGGGCCTGAGCACTCCAGAGTCCAGTGTATCTCACCCCAGCACTCAGAACTGTCTTTAAACGGGCTTCACCTTAGCGACCCACCCATTCCCCTTATCTCCACCTCCTCCTCACAGCCCCAGGATACACCAGGTCCCTTCCACACTGGCCCTTTCTGCGCTTTTGCCTCCTCATTACCTCCTCCAGGGAGCCTTCCCTGATACATCTGTGGTCACCATTGCCCATGCCACTCAGTCCCATGCATCTCCCATAGTGTCCCACCGTGGCCTGCCTGGGACATAGGAGCTGGAAGGGATATTAGTATGGGCCTGGCCAGGTCTGTCACTCAGATAGAGACCTTCTGCCACTTTGTGTGTATCCACACCTGCCCTTGCATGGACACATACACTTACCTTGATCACTCGTTAGACAAGCTATGAACTCCTGGAAGTTTGGGGTCAGTCGGTCATCTTGCCTCCTCTCACCCCTACCCTGATGGGACCTTATGGGATCTCAGGGTTGGAAGGGACTTAAAGGTCATCTGACTGGGTCTTCAGTGCCTGAATCCCTCTGAGAGGCATCACCTGCTTGTTTGTCCCCAGTGCTGGAGAGCTCACTACCTTGCGAGGTAGCCTTTTCAGTCTTCAGAAAGCGTTCATGGAGAGAAAGATCTTTCTTAGGCTGAGCTGAAATCTGTCATCCTGGCTTTTCCACCCACTGGCCCCAGCTCTGCCCTGTGGGGCCCCAGAATTCAGCAGGGCCCTCTACGGTGTCTTCCAAAGTCTGATCTTCTCCTGTACTTGCAACCATCCCTTATAAGACCACATATCCAGCCCCTCCTTCACCTCATCACCATCTCTGAACACACTTCAGATTCTCACTGCCTCTAATGCAAGGTGGGGCCTGGGCTGGGTGAAGCATTCCAGCTGGACACTGGCTTGTGCAACACATCGCCCCGGAGCCCGTGGGTTTCTGGCTGCCACGCCACCCAGCTGACTCCTTAGCATGTTGTCAGTGAGGCCCCAGTGCGGTTCCCATGAGTTGTTGTGGCTCCCGCCCCTTGCACCCGCGGTTTTTTTTTTTCAGGTGGCGG